GGCGTGGTCTTGGTGAAAAATATGAGGCCAAGCAGGCGAGAAACCGACCAAATTAAGGAAAAAGGACGAAAGAGAGGGAAGGAATTAGGGAGGGGGGAGGGAGGAATGGAAGAGGGGGACACACGTACTCTTCGATCGTCTCCGCTGTCCACTCTCCCTCCAAGAAGAGGGACTTGAAGGATTGTATCTACAAAAGGAAAGGGAGGGCAAAACACGCAGTAAGTCTTCCCCGTCGCATTCTGTCTTCCATCCCTCTTTCCTTCCCTCCCTCCCTCCCTCCCTCTTCGAGACCTGCGTCGTCATGGCCGCCTGGATCTCCTCCGCGCTGTGGTCCCGGCCCTCCTTGTAGCCGCTCACAAACTCTTGCATGGTGATGCGCAGCTGGAAAGCAGAAGCCCGCATCGGCCAAGATAATCCGGAGAAGAGGGAAAGCGAGAAAGGGGGTTCGGAAGAGAGGGGCTTCAGCCTCCTCAAGACAAAAGGAGGTCTGCCCGATCAGCCCCTCCCTCCCTCCCTCCCTTCCTCCCTCCCTCCCTCTTCACTCACCAGATCCATCCTGTCCGTGGCCATGGCTTCCAGTTTCCCTCTTCCCCCCCGAAGCTCCTTACGGAGGCGAGCCACCTCCTCCTTCACCTCCTCCTCGGTCAACTCGGTCCGACACCCTCGGAGTTTCTCCCGCACCAAGCTTTCCACCTCCTTCTCGTCCCCATCCACCAGGACTCGGGCGGCCTCCGGCGACCATCCGTTCTTCAAGGCTTCGTCCGCTCTGTCCCCGGCTTCTCCCCTGACCAAACCGCGGCCAAGGCCCCCTTCGAGCGTGAATTTGTCGTAGTCAAAAGAATTCTGCCACGACTTGAACGCACGCTGCCACGTGCGGGCATGTTCCAAGGGGGAACGCCTGAGGAGCGAGGGTGATATGTGGAAGAAGAGAGGGACGGAAGTGGGGAAATTAGGCTAGAGGGGACATGTCCGGGGTCAGGAAGCTTGCAGACGCACTGATATGCCCGGATGACACGACTTGCACGCCGCTACGTGTTCGCAAACACGCAGCAACATGCATCATGTATCCTATCCTATCACACACAGAGTGCCTTTAACATAGGCGATCGTCGACCTCGGGAGACGTAGAGAAAGGAAATGCGAGACGAGTCACGTGAGTCGATACTTACCAGCGCCTTGGCTTATCCTCTTTGGCTGTGACACCTAGCGCTTCGTCGTACCCTGGGGGATTGTCCATTGGCTGGAGGCTTCCCCATGATTCTTCGAGGTATCTGGGAGAGTGGAGGGAAAATAACGAGTGGTGAACCACAGCAAGTGCTGAGGTCTAGGCACATCTGAGAGCATTCAGTCCCATACCGTCGAACACGGGCCAAAGACCCAGGCATCCGGCGCTTTAACGAGGGCGGGAATTGTGCTGGCATCTTTCCTTTGCTTGAGTAGGCCTGTAGGAAGTAGTATCGTCCGTGCATCTCGTTAAAAAGCTCTAGTGGTGATTTTATCTTCCTCGTCACCCTCCTATTAGAAGTACCATACCACGCCACAAAACAACAGAATGTTCTCAAACCATGCGGTACGGTCAGCCATCGAGATCCGATCAATGGTAACGCGTAAGAAAATAACCGTGTCGTGTGTCACACAACATTTCTTCTTAACCTTGGCAGCTTCACGGCCATTGACTTGAATGCTGCTTTTTGTTGGTAAATCAAATTCAAGTTCGGGGTACGTCAATCCTTGAAGCAGCAGCAACTGACAGCTTGCGCCGGACCAACACAAAACCAGTAAAGACGGCCGCACGGGCCTGAAGCGGCTTGATTCACACGTGCATACTTCAGAGTGTGTATATTTCCTCGTTATCTTATCTCCAATGTCCATGCTTTCCCTCTGTGGTAATTAAAATTGTGTGTTGTAGTTGGCCCACAACCACCCAGCAAGGATCTTGCCTCACAAAGCCCGTTTACAATACCCGCACTCATATACGCGTAAAATCGCCTTCAAAATAGCCGCAAAGCTTGAAATATATCGTTCAGGAGTGATTAGCAAAATTATGTCCTATTTGCTAACACTTTTCGTTCATTTTCTCGTTTCCTTACACGCACAGCAAACAGAACGGGCCCTCCCGATCTCCGCTTCCTGTGATACTGGGTTAGGTAGCTCCATTTCACATCTTTGCCACCAAAAAGGATGTTGGCTTATGAAAGAAATGAGTTCTTCTTTTCAAAGCCAAACTCCGTCTGAAATGGCAGGGGAGAGAATTTTGTCGGCGTCGGGTAGGTGGATGGGAAAGGAAAAGCACCCTACCTGGGGTGAGAACGAAATTGACCGAGATCGGGAGGAACTGCCGCTGCTGGGAATGCCAACCAACGAAACAGATGACGCCACACTCGTTGCATTCATGGCTGGACTCCAGCGGGAGGCAGATACGCTCAATGACACGAGGGACCCAACGTTGTGGAAACCAGCGGCCCGCTCCTCTCCATCCTCCCAACGACCGCGTAGCTACCATTTGCATGCACTCGAGTCCTTGCTGGAGTCAGGTCAAGGGGCAGACGTGGAGCTCCACCCGGCTGTGCCTCCGTCTTTTTCCCCTGACGCCGTCTCTACGAGCGCCCTGGCTTTCCCGCCCCCCTTGGCCTTGCATGCCCGCATTCTCCGTCACGCGTCGCGGATTTTCCGGCCTCACGCACGGCTCCAGGTCCCTTGGTCGGCCCCTGTCACCCACGCGCTGGTAACATTTATGTACACGGGAAAACTGACGCTGTCCACTGCCCTTCTTGCCGACGTCTATTTGGCGGCTAGGGAGGCAGGGGCCCGGCCCTTGCTGTACTTGCTGCGCACGTACCCCTACTATGCCTTGCGTCTGACCAGTGGGGAGAAAGCGAGGTGAGCACAGAAGGAGGGGGGAGCGCGGGGCTGGAGGAGTGGAAGGGTTGTGAGAAGGAGGGAGGCATGGGACTCTTTCTGGAAACGCTCATGCGGTTGTGGCGAGGTCAAGACTGAGTTAGAGACGGGTTGAAAGCTATAAAATGACGACAATAAGGTGTCGAATCAAGCCAAAAAATGGTACCAGTTGAATCAGGATCAGCGTATGGGATGCAACTCTGGGTTTTGATCCCTGTGGCGGGGTTGGGCGTTGAATCTAGAGCCACTCGCACAGTCCACTGTGGTATGGGAGGGCGTGCCTCCCCCGCTTCTGACACGCCACACCCCTCCTCCCTCGCCCCTCTGTCCTTCCACATGTCTGATTCCCCCACTGTCCGCCACGTGGATGGCAGCCACCTGCTAGGCTTTGCCCGGGTCGCCGGCGACGAGGAGCTGGAGGTGCTGGCCCAAGACTACCTGCATCGCATGGCAGGCCACCACGCCTCCTCCCTGCTCATTACTTACGTTCCTCTTGCCTGGCTGCAGGCACGATCTTTACGCACGGGCGCCAAGGTAGAGAAGAGGGAGGGTAAAAAGGACGCTACAGAGATTTGATTAGAATTGCCCAACCACACTCCCTGGCCCCTAAATGTCCTCTTTCCCACGCAGGGCATTGTACTCGCTTTTCGCCATCGACCCTCTCCCATCCACGAGTCTTCCAGCAACCTTGTACTTTCTGCCCATGACCACCTGCTTTCCTGCCTCCCTTCCTCCCTCCCTCCCTCCCACCGCCCCTTTCTCCGGCACAACGCCTGCTACCGCCTCGACCAGGAATTCCATCCCCTCTGGTCCTCCTCCTCGCATTCTTCCTCCTGCACGCGCCCCCCACTGCCCAGCAGCTTGGCTGACAAGGAAGGCAACGTCTGGCTTTACGCCATGACCTCTCAGAAAGATGCGCCGGTCCTTCTCAAGGCTTTACTCAGGTGCCATGGGAAGGAGGGAGCGGGAGAGAGAAGAACGTCGAAGACAAAGATAGGGGGGAAATATATATATATATATATATCTGAAGGTGCAATTGAGCTTGTGCGTGTTTCTTCCATACTACAGGGAACTTGGAAGCGCCAGTAGAGCTTTGCTGAAGCCCCCATCGAAAGCTGGCAGTGGAAGGGAGGGAGGGAGGGAACGATCGGATTCGGTCTTCTCTCTCCTGTCAACGACCTCCTCAGTGGCCTCCTTCGCCTCCTACTCCTCGTCAGATGTTTCTGAGGAAGGCCAGGGAGGGAAGGAGGAAGGGAGGGAGGAAGGGAAGGAGGAAGGGAAGGAGGAGGTAGGCGGGGACGGGAGCGGGGAACAAGACGAAAGGGGAGGAAAGGAGACACAGAGAGCAGAGGCGACAGAGGTGGGCGATGGGGGGAAGGTAAAACCCAAAACATCTTATGCCGTGCGGTTCGAAGAGCACTGGACGTCTTCACTCTCCGCTTCCCCGCCCACGGCCTCCCGTGACGACCACTCTGGGCCCAAGCACCGTCAAGACAACGTCCGCGGGGGCTTCACAGTCCTCTCCCTGGTCCCCACTCCTGGCAAGGTGGGCGGGAGGGAGGGGGCGGCCGGGAGGGAGGCAGAGGAGGAGGTAGTGGCGGAGCTCGAAAAGTACCTGTCCCAGACGACAGCCCCCTCCTCCCTTGATACCTTCCCGGCTTTGTGCTCCTCGTCATCTGCTCGTTCTCAGAGCCACCAACGGGTGCTGAAAGCAAGTCTTTGCGTAGTCAATCCTCCCACCCCACTACTGGCCCATGCCCTGAGCGCGTTCGAGAAGGTGGTGGTGGAATGGGAGGTGAGTGGGGACGAGGCAAGCTCATACGTGCCTGCGCCGATGTGGGTGGGGAAGCTCCAGGCCAAGAAGGAAAGGGAAAGTAGGCATGCCATGAATACTTGTAGATTGAATTGAGGGACTGACCGCAAATAAGAAGGGAGGTAGAAAGGAAGAGGCGATGAGAAGGAGGGAAGGCAGTATGTTGACACCTCTCTACATCCCCTTTTCCAACGGCAGAGCAACGCCGTCCTCTTTCCGCACCTCTCTCTCCCGGCCTTGGAGGTTCTCCTGGTTCGTTTTCTTCTCCTCCCCTCCTCCTCCTCTCCGCTTCCCCCCGCCTTCGAAATCCGGCGCATCAACAATCTGGGACGTGGTGGTGTGATAGAAGGGCAGCGTCACCAGCCCCTGCGTCTCTCCCCCACAGCAAACCACTCCAAGAAAGAAGAAGAATGGACAGGACTGGACAGAAAGTTCTGTAACACCCAAACGGAGCAAAATGTCATGGAGGAGTTGACGCAGTGCGGGAGCGCGCCGGACGGAAGGGGGAACAACTACCTCCACCACCATCTACGCCATGTGTCCTCGCGTGACATCAAACGGCTCGTGCGGGGAAGAGCTTGGCATTTCAAAGGATGAAGGTGAATAATGTGGGCATGTGTCGTGAAAGTGCGCTCCAGTCCGCTTGATCCTGTGTGAGCGCGAGAGGGAGGAGAGCCATTTACTTCCACTCTGTCCGTGGGAGGCAAAGGGAGAAAAAGGTGGTTTGCACGGCTGCATCGTACAAAAGTGCAGATCAGATCATTGTCATAACGGGTGTGTAGGGTCAAGAGAGACGTCGCAGTGCAATATAGGTCTGCAACTCATCAGGCAATGATGATAAAAATCTCACGACTTTGGATGATTTTTAATCAACAATACAAAATGAGATTGGGTGAACTAGTTACGTGTAATCAGGCATCATACTTTTTATTTTGCCGAGTCGATTTTGAGCTTAATATTTCGTACACTGTCCTTTATGCGATTTGAAGACGGATGGAGGAGTGCAGGCAAAGAAAACGATTGGAAATAGATAGGATTAGATCATGGGGTGGCAGCTATTTTCGCTATACACACACCTTGAACGAGCGTGAATGTAGTAGGTTAAAAGCAATGTGGTAAGGCCGAGAATGTAGGAGCCTGTGCTTGCGAGAACATTAGACTTGGACGTGGCCACAGGGACCATTTACTCCAAAGTACATCTGTTCTTTGTCGAGCGTCATAATATCATCGCGTTCCACATTTTATTATTGCCCAACTTCCCTCGGACCTTATTATGGTCCAATATAACCTTCCATAATACGTGTCTTTATCGAAGAAGTGGTTCTTTTTTTTAATTTAAGGTTATTAACCCTTCAGTCACGTAATCATCAGATCCTCCTCTTTCCTCGCATTATTGCTCGTCGTCAATCTTGTTCTGCTTCTCGTCATGTTTCCGGTGCTGTGCGTACAGCGCTTGCTCTTGGAGGAGTTCACGGACTGTCCAAGGGCCTTTTCTGGCTCCACCAGGTGGCTGTGAGGCCCCTCCCAGACCTTTCATAAGCACGGCCACGTGGTCAGCCGTTTCGACGAGGGGGAGGACCTCCTTGATCCCAAACCGTTCCCACAGGCCCAATGCACGCAAGGTCGGTTCATCGAGCGAGGTCGTGGCTAAGACTACGCACACTCGCGACTGTTTGACAGGAGGGCGACCCAGGACGGAAAGGAGGGTGTGCAGACGAGGCAGGGAGACGCGCCCGCCTTGTAAAGGTACGTATTGCATCAAGCCTTCCAAATCGTCCAACATGAGGAGGGACCGAGGACATTGGTGGGCATCCTCCACCGCCTGTACGACCGCGTCGCAGGCGCTCTCTTCACCCAAGCTGGCCAGTTCTTGCCCTGTTAAGTGTCGACGAAAAGTATAGCCCTCTGCCAACGACCCCAAGCGAGCAAGCACCGCAGTCTTTCCCGCCCCAGCAGGTCCTTGCAGGAGAATAGTCACGAGGGGAAGCTGACCGTCATGCCGAGCCCTTTCAAGAATGGAGAGAAGCCGCTGCATAAGCTCAGGAACCTCGGGACGGAATGCTATGAATCCCAATCGTTGATGCGTGGCCCATTGCTGGCTTTTGGCGCCAAAGTGGGGCTTCGCTTCACGAAGCGCACGCAGCAAATCAAACATGGACAAGCGTAGAGGGGCGAAGCCGGAGGACAAATCATCGTATGAGGTTCGGCTTGGACATTCCTCTTCTGTCTTCTTCTTCGTGCTGATTTGACGTTGGAGCGCAAACGAAAGACCACCTTTCACCACCCCTTCAATTTCTGCTCCTGTGAAATTTGGGGTCAGGCGCGCGAGCTGCGGGAAGTCCACGTCCCTGGCCAGCAAGCCTTCTGTCGCAAAGCCTTTGGTGTGCACCTGAAAAATCTGAGCCCGCCCTGCTTCGTCTGGAAGACCCACTTCAACGTGAACTTCGAGGCGCCCTGGCCGCAATAACGCGTCGTCCAACAGATCTTTTCGGTTCGTCGTGCCTATGCACAGAATATTATCGAATGCCGCCAGTCCATCAATCTTCGAGAGCAGTTGGTTGACACAGCTATCCATCACTCCTGACGAGTCCCGCAATGAACCCCGTTTACGAGTCAAGGCGTCTATCTCGTCAAAAATAATGACGTGTAAAGCGGAGTGACTCCCTTTCTCTTTAAATTCTTGCTCCGCGTCTGCGAAAATTGACCGAATGTTTTCTTCGCTCTTGCCCACCCACATAGAAAGCAACTCCGGTCCAGAGACAAGCTTGGGCTCACGGGCATGCAGCAGGGCAGCAAGTTGACGGGCCACGAGCGTCTTCCCCGTGCCCGGTGGACCGTAGAGCAAAATACCTCGCACATGCTTCACGCCTAACCTCTTGGCCATATCCGGGGAAAGCAAACGAGAGGCCAAGGCCCGGCGTAGCAGTGTGATGACAGGGCCATCCAAGCCGCCGATGCCAAGCTGATGCAGGAGTGCGGAGGTAGTGGTGGGAGAAATGTCTGAGGGATCACGACAACCGATATTGTCCTCCCCTTCGTTTTTCAGAAGCTCCCGCAGGAGGACTAATGACGCATTGGATGCAATTTTGCCTTGTTGCGATGACATATTGCTTGTTGCAGCATTTTTTTTGCGTGTCATCGTGTTTGTAACACTACCTGTCGCGTTTTTTAGATTGTCTTAGAAAGTCGTCGGAGAAGCAGCGCAGAGACGGGACAAGCAAGTACAGAGGTAATAGCATTCCATGCCAAATTATGCAACGCTCTATCACGCATAATTTTTACCTATTTTGATTGAGAAATTCTTTGTTTAGTGTCTCGATTCAGTGCGCCGACACAATATTCTCCCAGCTTTAAAGAACAAGTTTCCTGCGAATAACCTCCCGGCGCCGTCGGATAAGTTTTTGGAAAGCACGTACCCTAACCTCAACCCTAACCCTAACCCTGACAAAACATGTTTCTCGTGAAGGTGATCCCGGCTAGTGTTAAAAAGGCAAAGTTTGTCACAGAAGTCAGATACTTCTGAGCAAAAATGTGTAGAGAGGATGCGGCTGGTGTTTTAAGACTTTTGTGTCGTAAATGCTAAAATGTGTGAAGGATCGATAGGAAGAGGGCAGCTACGTTTCAATAGCCGGTGGATCCTTTTGGGATGTTTGAGGTCCTGAAATATCTGGGATGTGATCATCGAAACGGTCTTGTGCATTGAAGACATCAAAAAGACGATTCGATCTGTTGTCATCAATTACAGGATCGATAACCATAACCACACGAGTCACTCCAAAAAAGATCAACTTAGGACGACTTAGGGATCAACAAATCGATTCAGGGCTGCGCTGCTGACGATCGATTGCTTATTTACATCGTCCGGTCATCCCCTCCATGGCATTGATGAACAGCAGGGAGGCCTCGTTACTATGTGGTGAAAGGCAGGAGCAGGACTAATTTTCCTTGCTGGATTTGCAAAGTACCATGCGCCCGGCTGGATGACCCAACGTTCGACGCGACGCAATTCCCGTGGGAGCGTGACGAAGTGTACGACCTGTTCGACGATATTCAAGCCTTACACGCAGCGACGGAGCAAGAAAAGCGTGAGCTGAAAAACAGCGTGATACAGGCAAGGGAAGGATCGAAATAGCTGTCAATCGCTTCGTCGAGTGCGCGTTTCCGGACGTGCCGTTTGGGGTCAATCCCTTTGGTAAATCTGGAGCCATCTTTCCCGAACCCCTTCATCAAATGAGGCCTCATGGAGCGGGCGTGCGATTGCGTTGTAGAACTGCTAACTCAACACAATAAGAACTCTGGCCTGACAACGTTGGAGGACAAATGGATAAGTGCACTGAACCCTTCCAGGACGTGGAAAACGCCTTGCGTAAAATATTGGCAGATTTTTGCTGGAAATGCTGGAAGACAAATGCTAGCGAGCAAGGTATTACCAGTGCTAAAGTTGCCAGTGGAAAAGCGCACAAAAAGTGAGTACTGACTCGGAACAGCAGCCAGGGAAGTAGCAGTACTAACATGAGAAGGCGCACACCCAGAATGTGCTGAAGGATAGCTGCAGGGAATAGTAACAGTGCTTAATTTGGCAAAGTGCAAATAAAGTAGGTACTAAGTGATTGCTACAAGGACTAGTGGGTAGAGAAAAGAAGGTGCGCGAAGACCGCTTGGGCAGCCATTACTCAGAAATCAATATCACGAATGGAAAGTATCCCTCAAAGCAAATCAAACGCTGTTGGCAGGAAGTCCGCCCTCTCGTGCCATCCGTCCTATAGCTCTCAATTAGAGTGCTCAAAGACCGACGGTACTCATAAGGAGAAGAAAGGTATAGATTAATATCAGAATAGGCGGAACTTTGGCAATTAGATCTTCCTCAAGGGAAAAGGTGATACCTCTTTGGGTGTATCTAGCCGGGTGATATCTCTGTTCGGCATGGCACATGCCCAGAAAGCGCTATCTTATCTATTTACTAACAAACATCGGTAGAGAGTGGCGGCCTGGCGGCCTGTGATGGAAAGCTAGTTTGGGTGCTTACGCCGATCCAGATGTGACAAAAGGCATAATATTCAATAAAGAACATGTGAAAGGTCGTCCTGCGTGGCATACACAGAAAAAAACTACAGGCAATTGGCCTGCGCTACAGGATGAAAGAAACGATTATGAGAGATGTCAAATGCACACATCGTTTGTTCTTTTGTCTTTCAAACTCTACTACTAAGTTCACCAGTGGTTGTCGCGGTCGCCTTTTGTTTATCTCTTCCGCCTCTAGGAGCACGATGAGGGTTTCACGCTGAGGAAATACAAGAGTTTAACAGACAAAAGCGGGGGAGAGCAGTAGAAGCAGCAAACGAGAATGTCCCTCCGCCAGCATACTTTTCGAGCAGAGCCTCTTTGTACACCCCAACATTCAAGAATCCATACAGAGCAGGTACAATCGACTGCAAATGGTCATATTGTGGTCAGGTGTGGCTGCTGGGATCTGTGACATCAGAACAGTCGCCATAATCCAAAAAGCGATGCTTCTACCAGTTCTAGCGGGGAAGGAAAGCTCCTACAGCAACTACAACAGCAACATGTCACTTTTCCCCGTGCATTTCTGACTCTCCTTTGATTTGAGTGGCCTATCTCCTTTCCTTTTGAAGTAGCAACAAATATTATATGCTCACTGTGGGGTCGATCGATTCGTCTAAACGCCTGCGTGTATGGAAAAGGCTGAATTGGGAGCAGTTGTCAACAGAACAATGCTGGCAGCACGCCCTACTCCTCTCACAACTTTCAAAACATGTAGATTATGCCTTCTATCTACGAACTGAAAAAAAGTCTCTCACTGAAAAGCGGTGAAGTGCTGGGGACTGGATTTATTGTCAAGGACGTCGAGGTTCGTGTAGTTGAGGTCTCTGGAGGTGTCTCAGAGGAGCTGTCTTAGAAGGGATCCGGGGGGACAAAAACTGTTATGCATGTTCATTACTGCAGATTCTCTCTATGGACGGGTATGGCCATATCTTAGCTAGTGGAGATGGATTATGTGATTTTCAATGGCTTCAAGCAGATGTATGCACAGAATACTACCTGCGAAGTCGCTTCACAGCCCGCCATCTCGTTATTTTCCTCCCGCATCCACAATCCACACTATCGGAAAAACTCATTCCCCCGTCGGGTAGCAGGCCACAATGGACGAAAAGAAGCCAAGAGAGCTCTACAACTTCAAAGTCCATTTGTGGGTCTCGCCCCCGTCTTCCTCTTCTTCTACTACCAAAAAACACAGCACCCGTCGGAGCCAGGGGGCGAAGCGCCACAAAGTTTTGGACAAGGCTGATTTGGAGGGGGCCGAAATGGCGTTAATTCAGACGGCAGAAGAAAGGCAGATCATGTATTCTTCGTATGGATCTCCTTACGAAGTCCATCTGGAGCATGTCAAAGCGACGCCTGCAGGTGAGGGGAGGCAGGAGAAAGTGGCACGCACACGGAAGGGAGAAGAAAGCGCGATTGAACAAGAAGGGCTGATAGAGATCCATGCGCTGGCGGTAGCAAAACGTCGTCGTGATCTGCCCCGGCTGTCGGATACCGGGCACGGGACAAGCGAAGAGGAGGAAGCTGCAGCGGACGACGACATGAAACGCAGAGGTTTCCGAGTAGTCAAGGCTCATTTCAAATCCAGTCATTGTCCTGAGTGCGGGCATGAGTTCATCCCAGGAGAGCATATCGCCAAACCTCAAGACGAGCACAATCGTGGTGGTTGGGCTCATTCCACTTGCTTGGCGAAGCGGCTAGAGACGCCTCAGACACCTACCAAGGAGCAAAAGGTTGAAGTGGGGAATAAAAGACCCCACAAAGGACTTGCTCGAAGATCTGGGTGAGGGAGAGGTCGTATCTTATGCGAGAGGAATGCTTTACTGACATTTTATTTTCTATGCTCTAAGTTATATTTTCCGAGAGTTAGAATTAGTGAAATCGTCGCCTGGCTGATTTAAGGCTTCTAGATGCACTCAAGACATTTCACAGTGACGAAACTTATTTGGTAGGCTGACGAGACACAGTGCATGCCTCCCATCCTCAATAATTAATCATACTGTCCTTCTGATCTTTACTTGCAGCATTCAGAGTTGACCCCCACCTAAGCCATATTACCATGAGACGTGATGATCATGGACTTTAGTGATATTGCTGTTGCTTTTTATCGAATAAAAGTGACTATTTCTTTGTGCCTTTAACCTCACCAAATCGTCCCTCTTACTTCATGCTAGGGTGCAGCAGGCTGAAAAGCAGAAAGTGCTCAATTCCACTGATGCATGATTTTGAAATGTTTCACTTCGAGACCCATAAAAACGCCCATAAATGCGCACTTAGACATTTTGGAACAGAATATAGTCCATTGTACCTTTCAGCTCAACTAAATCAAACCTTGAATGCCAAATACATGACACTCTAAGCGCTGGATACGAGGCGTTGAACCTCCCAACGGTGGACGGGGGCAGCGGATTTGAAATTTAAATCATCGGCGTTGTGCCTGGATATTTTTCCAAGCAGCCATGCATACCACACACAATGTCGCACCACGTCTTGAACTTACAGCTGACATCAATTTATTTTCAAGACCTTTAAAAGCGTCATCTCATGGATCTTAGAAGGAAATTTAGCCGTTGTTTTCTTCCCCTTCTCATCGCGTGCTGAATCTTCCTTCAAGAATCACCGCAGGCTAGTCCAAGTGCCCGTCTACACGTGTGCATCACCACTTGCCACAACACGGACGCATCATACCTTTTTGTTAGCTCGTTTACTCAAAAGCATCCTACTCAATCAAGATTCTTCGCCGTAGAACATTGTCCGGGCGCCGCTCTGATCGCTTTTCGCACGTTCACCATCTCCTCTCTGGCCTGCAGCATGTTCTTTTTCTCCTTTCCCGCTACCACTCTTCTCACGTGGGGTGCAGCGGGTCTCATTGGAGTCCTTTTACTGGCCGATGGCTTGTACAGTGCTCTTGCACCTGTTCCACTCCATTATTCCCTCTTCTATAATAAACATATGGTCTTCGGTCTCATCTTGGCGGGCGTCCTGCTGATTTTAATCTCCCTGCCCCCGCTTCATTCTTATTTTCGCGAAAGCACCGTCGGAGGAAAGAGGTCTCTGCCACCTTTAGCTCCACTACCCCCTCAATTCGCTGAGGTTGTCGCCCGGGCGGGTGAGGGAGGAGGAGAACAAAGTCGGCAAGGCTCTGCGCACCCCACCCTCCCACCGCTGTCTTTGGATGCTGCCATCCATATCTTAGGGGCAGATGTATCCCACGGCTTATACTCTGTCGAGGCACGAGCACGACTCCTTCAATGCGGTCCCAACGAGGTCAGCACGTCCGACGCGCCCTCCTATTTATCGATCTTCTTGAAAGAACTCTACGAAGGACCGCAGTTGTTGCTGGTGGTGGTCGGGGTGGCTTATGCCCTGGTCGGGTCCGTGCACGAATCTTGCACGGCTCTGGTAGTGATTTTCTTGATGATTAACGCAGAGATAATCACAGAATATCGGGCGAAGCGGGCCCTGTCCAGGCTGCAATCAACGGTGAGGAAGGGGGTGGAAGGGAGGGAGGAAGGAAGGGAAAGAGGAAGGGACGGACGAAAGAGCGGGAGGAGAAGGTGACACAATTATGTAATCTGAGACCTATCCTGTTATCCGGTGCCCTCCCCGCATCCTGCTCCCTTTGTTTCTCGTCCTCCTCCCCTCCCTCCTCCCCTCCTCCAGGTGCCCAAACTTGCCGCTGTGCTTCGAGACGAAGGGCAAGAGATAGAGGTCGCGGCGGCCACGGTGGTGCCAGGTGACCTCGTAGTCCTCAGGTAGGACCTCACGCCCTTTCCCATCCACGTTTGTCTCCTCTCTGCGCAGACGGAGCTCATAGCCACCGAGCTCGGGGGGGGGCTCGTGCTCTTTAATCCTGCCAGGACATGGCACCCTGTCGCTCGTGCTTCCCTTTGTGTAGAGCACCGTATTGAGCGTCCGTTACGCTTTCAAACCGTGCGTTCTTCCCTCTTTTTTCCTCGTGCTCTCGCTCTTTTCGCGCCTTTTTTGGGCCCCTCCGGAACAGGGCGGGGCAGGCAGTGCCCGCGGACGTCTTTCTTCTCTCGGCGTCTTCGCTGGAAATCGACGAGGCGGCTGTGACGGGAGAGAGTATTCCAAACCCCAAACGAGTCGGCGTGCGAGCAGGGAGAGGGAGAGGAGGGGAAGAAGGAGGAGGGGGTGGGGGAGGGGGAGGAGAGGGGGAGGAGACCGGGTCGTCCGTGCTGTCAGTGGTGGTGATGGGCGAAGGCGAGGGGGGAGGGAAAGGGGAGGGCCAGGAAAGGGAGGGAAAGGAAGGAGCGGGCGAGGATGTATTGATCAGCGAGGAGAAGGCCTATGCAGGTCCGCGGGGGGGGTGGCGGCAGGGGAAGAAGGGGGGAGATAGGGAGGGATCCCAAGTCACGCGAGGCCATGCTTCGTCCAAGGAGCATGGCGATGCGCTCACCCTCCCTTTCTCCCTCCTTTACTCCCTCCCTCCCTCCCTCCCTCCCTCAGGCACCATGGTGGTACGCGGGAAGGGGTTAGGGCTGGTCTTCCGCACTGGCCCCCACACCTTCTTGGGGGGCCTTCTCCGTCACTCCCGCCGGCTTCGGCCCCCGCGGACGCCCTTGCAATCCCTCCTGCAGTCTCTGGCGGGCCGACTCACTCTCTTTGCCCTCTGTGTCTCCGGTCTGGGGGCCCTGGTGGGCGCGCTGCGGGAGTGGGAGGGAGGGAGGGGGACCGGTGCCTGGAAGAGAGTCCTCCTCACCGCCCTCTCTTTGGCCTTTGCCACGATCCCAGAGGAGCTTCCTCTCCTGGTGGCGGCCGTGCTGGCGGTAGGCGCGCAGGCTCTGGCCGAGAAGGGCATTTACGTGAAGAGTCTCAAAGCTCAGGAGGCCTTGGCGTATGTGGATGTGATTTTAACGGACAAAACTGGGACGTTAACGGAAAACCGTTTGAGTTTGTCGGCAATCGCCCTGCCCTCCGGAGGGGAAGGGGAGGAAGAGGTGGCAGAGGAGGAAGAGGGAGTCGAGGAGGGGCTTGGGGAGGGGAGGAGGGGAGGGAGGGAGGGAGAGAGGGCGGGAGGGAGAAGAGACGTCCCTCTCGACGAAGGAGAGTTGCGCATGCTCCTGGAGACATGGGCCTTTACCTCGTCCACCAGCTCGCTTGCCCCTGGTGGGAACTACAAGCAAGGCCGAGGTGACCGGGAGAGAGAAGAGGGAGGGGAGGGAGGGGAGGGAGGGGAGGGAGGG